TCCCTGTTCCCCTGAAAAGAGGGGGCCTCAGAACACCGCCCCGCCCCGCCCCGCCCCGCCCCGCCCCTCCCCGGGGCCCCGCCCCTGCGCTCCGCCCTGGAGGCCCCAACATGGCAGTCAGGCCCTAAGGTCTTCAAGTTGCTCGCGGGTTCCCAGCGAATAGAGGGCCCCGTCAAGGGTGGTGGACTCTGGTTGAGCTCGAGCTGACAGAGAAATGCCCGGTCCCTTAGAGGAAAATAGGAGGCCTTTGTGAAAAAGGAGGGCACCCTCAACCCCGGAAGAGGGCAAACGGGGTCCACTTCCTGACATCGGCCTGCGAGGGTCCGGGCCGGTGTAAGGACCGGGGTGCTCTCTCTCTTGGCCCTCAGGAGCATCACGGAGGTGGGGCCCTGGTCTAGGGGTTGGCAGCAGGTGACGAGAGAGATGATGTGCAGGTCGGGGGAAGATTCAGGTTGAGGAGCATGAAGATTCGTGGACCTCTCAGTCCATAACAGGGAGGACTGCCCGGAATCCCTATGTGCTGCCAACCAAGGAGGCCCAGGCATTCATCAAGCCGAAGGGCCCCTTAAAACCCTCCGGGATCACGGTGGCGGGGGCGTGCGGGGTGGGGGGCAAGTCTTCCGCTGAGCGGTGGGATCAGCGCTTAGCAGTGCGAGGAACCGTAGATGCCCGCGCCCGGGGTCAAACCGGGTTGGAGGGAGGCCTTTGGGAGCACTGACAACGGAGGTCCATTTGGTGGTGTGTCCATACATTTGGAAAAAGCAGGCCAAAGCACCCAGACAAGGCCAAACTGAGTTCCTCCTCCGGCTCTTGGCTGGGCGCCGACCTTAGCGTGACTGGAGCACAGAGGCAGAGGAGGCCCTGGCCCTGGCCGTGCCAGCCAGGGAAACTGAGTGAGGATGAGGGGAGACCCACCGTGAAGGTGTGATGACGGTAAAGCCAGCAGTCAGCAGAAAGGAGGGCGCTGAGGGCCTACTGAGCGTCCGTGTGAGAAGTGGGAGTGAGAGCTGGGGCCCCCGCAAAGTCCAGGACGGACAGGCCTCCAGAGGCATAGCCATTCTGGGTGTCCTTGCCAGCAACACCATCTCAATTCGTTCTTGTGGCATCTCGGGGGTGTGAAGTGTCTCATTCAGAGCAACAGCTGGGAGTGGGACCTGGGTCATGTTAATAATTAACTCCATGACCCTGAGTGTGAACGGAGAGCACCCCAAAGCCAGGGACACACGTCACCCCTGCCAGCCCCTGTACTCACCCGAGGAGCACCCAGGCAGGACTCGAAGGCTCTGGCCTAGGGCTCTCTCTCCCCTCCTCGGCAGGGTTGTCAGGGGCCAGGCTTCTGAGAACAGGAGGCTCCTGGGGGCTCCTAGAGCAGTGCCCTCAGGCCCTGCAGAGGCGGCCTTGGTTAAATCCACGGTGGAGGGCACACACCAACTCATTCTCCCTCCCCTAGGTGCCGACGTCACCTACTCTCCTGCCCACACAGGTGCCTGCTGGTCCTGACCGTTGTCATCATGCCTCGGGGGCAGAAGAGTAAGGTCCGTGCCCGCGAGAAACGCCTGCAGGCGCAAAGTGCGTCTCAGAGTGTCAAGGGCGCCCAGGCCGCCGCGGCAGAGGCTGAAGAGTCCGCCTCCTTTCCTCTTTCTGGGGAGTCTCCCACGAGCTCCCCTGCCCCTGGTCCATCCCAGAAGCCTCAGCGAGCCCGGGCCACTAGCTCTCCTGGGGAAGGCGTGTCGTGCCCAAGATCTCATGAAGCTGCCAAGAGCCAAGATGAGGAAAGTGCAAGGGCCTCCCGGGCAGCACTCTCCTCTCGGAGGGCTCGCAGAGATCCTCTCAACAGGAGGGTGTGCAGGCTGGTGCAGTTCCTGCTGGAGAAGCTTCAAAGGAAGGAGCCCATCACGCAGGCGGCGCTGCTGAGGATCGTCGGCAGGAAGTACAAGGAGCAGTACCCTGAGGTCCTCCGGAGAGCCTGTGAGCGCCTGGAGCTGATCTTTGGCCTTGAGCTGAAGGCTGTCACCCCCAACAGCCACACCTATGCCTTTGTCAACAAGCTGGGCCTCCCGATTGAGGGAGACCTGTGCGATGACGAGGTGGTGCCCAAAACCGGGCTCCTCAATGCTCTCCTGGGGGTGATCTTCATGAAGGGCAACCACGCCACTGAGGAGGAGATCTGGGAGTTCCTCGGTGTGTTCGGGATCCATCCGGGGACGAGGCACGTCATCGTGGGGGAGCCCAGGGAGTTCCTGATGGAGGATCTGGTGCAGCAACGGTACCTGGAGTACCACCGGATGCCCGGCAGTGGTCCTCCACGCTACGCGTTTCAGTGGGGCCCGAGAGCCTACGTTGAGACCAGCAAGATGAAAGTGCTGGAGTTCCTGGCCAAGATCAGTGGTACGGTCCCCACTGCCTTCCCCAACCTGTTTGAAGAAGCGTTGAGACATGAGGAAGACAGAGCATGGCTCACGGCTGCAGCCATGGTTGCCTCTTTCTAGAAGGGCACTGCCCCTTCCAGGGCCAGGTAGAGCAGCTCCTCTGCACAAGCGGGGAGGCGTGGGGCAGGCGTGTCACCTTGCCTTTGAGGAGAGTAGTCACATTTCTAACTAGTGCAGCGTAGTGGGCTCTGGAGGGAACAAAACATGTACTTGTTTGGCTTCTTTTTCTTCAGTAGATGAGGACTTCTTCGGTCTCTGTATACTTTCAAATGATGTTTCTTCTCAGTGAAGGTTTCTCTGTGTAAGCATCTGAGTGTATCAATGACCTGGATGTCCCATTTATTACATTTGAGATTAAGCTCAAGAGTTTTGTTTTCTGCAAATCAATTGAAAAGCCTTCCATATTCCTCTTTGCTGCTGAGCAAGGTAACACGGGATAGGAACGGTATTTTCGCGCAAATGTGAAAAACCTTACAGGAAAATACTGGCGATCACACAAAGGTGAAACCAAAGAAAGGGCGTTGAATTCTTAGTTTGCTTTATTCTCTTTGTTCTTCCCTGTAAAGTTAAATAACATATACCTGGATTTGCTTAATTCTTCAATCCATATGAGAAATTAAATTGCAATGAATTTGCCTTCTTGCTCCTGTCTTTCTTTTTCCTCCTCTAGGATTTTCCGGTCACCTCTTCTTTAGAATCCTCGAATGGTACTGGCGAAGTTAAGAAAAAGCAGACCAAGCTGCCGCCCATAGCAGTGAGAGTCTAGCAGCAGCATTGGTCTTATGGGAAGGATGGTGGCATGCGTTGTAAGAAATGAGTAAATGACGATTAAATAGAAGTGGCGTGGAGACGGGGTGTTGGGGATGAGAGCAGTTTATTGTCCATCGTGTGGTCAAGGCAGTGTTGGGCCTTGGGGAACAGCCAGTCCCTGGGGGTGGGGGACAGGTAATATTCACCTGGGCTGCATGGTGGGCTTCAGGAAGCTGTGGAGCGGAGGGTGGGCCCCATCCCTCACAGGATGGCTCTCAGAGTTGATTGACCGAGCTTGGAGGGGACAACAGATCTTAAAGGTTCCTTTGGGATGAGGGAAAACCTGGGAAGACTCTCCACCTGGGTCCAGGCTGGAAGGGGTCCTGTGCACTTGTCCCAGAGCAGGTGAACACAGGGCATGAGCTAGGTGGTTTTGGCAGAACGTGTCCTGAGTTTTTATAAGAAATAAGGGCGATAGTCTCTTGAAGTGAGATGCCGAGAAGGCAGTGGACAGTGACTCCTTTCATGGTGTGGGAGAGGCAGGGCTCGCTGCAGGAAAATGGCATTTTCCTTAGCGAATTTGCCTGGAATTTGTCAAATTCTAAGGGAGGGCTCTATTTACAGTGATTATGAAATGAATAAAATTGCGGGTGCTTTTCTTCAGAAGGCACCTTGGACAGAAGTTTTCAGTTCTGAGACATGAGGACTTTGAGTTGCATCCTGCTGGATAAGAGGACCTCACACCCATGTGAATAACACATGCTGTGATGGGGAAATTCTGCTTCATTCTACTTGCTCTGCAACACTTAGGCCAATGTGATATCCACGTTGTGTACAGTTGCATATTCTCCCATAGAGGACAGAAATAACGTTCTGTAAGGGAAGGCTTACATGACCCGGGCCAAACATCATCTTAGTAATAACCTTCATGCATTAAGAGTGCCAAAGTAGGCCAACACGGGGACAGGTGGTTTATTGGTAACACATTTGAATGCCCATAGTCCTTCACGACAGACTATCAGAATCGCTTTGCTGGTAAAAGTCCTGGAATAGTCTGACATTCCACTCTGCAAAGGGGCAGAGCTGGGCTTGACCCTGGCTCTGATTTCCTCCAGAGTCCATGCTGAGCCACTCCGCCAAGTCTGAAGCAAACCTCATGTCACTTAGTTCATTTTCCTGCTTATGCGCCAAAATGAATTCCGAGACCTCAAAACACAGACTTCACACTCAAGATAGTGATTTGGACTACGCAGCCCGGGGAAGAAGCAATAAAATAAGGAAATAAATGGGAGGAGCAAAGAAAGAAAGGCAGAGATTGTGTTCTGCTGCTGTGAGAACGAGGAGAGCCAAGGGAGGCATCCCAGGTCGTTCAGATACAAGGGCAGAACCCTGAATGAGAGCTGGGGGAACACAGACTCCAGGTCCGTGAGGCGGCACGCAGACTGCCCAAGCCATCAGCCCAAGGCCATCAACCCGGGGATGCCTTGAGCAAGAGAGTGAGACGGACTGTTTAATAAGTGCGACAGAGATGTGAGGGCCTTGGTCAAATGGAAGGGGCTTCAGGTAGGCGAAGAAAAGAATTCCAAGCCCGTCCAGGAGTCACAGTGAGGACCCTGTGAGAGGGCTAAGGGGGCCTCCAGTCCCAGAACAGAGAGCGCCACACAGTACTCTGGCCTCCCTGGCTGCCTTGGGACAACTGGGCATTGTTGACATGAGGTCACAGAGAGCCTCCTATGGTGTCACCATGGGGTTAGAGTCTTAGCTTAAGGGCAATTGCCAGAGGCCAGCAGTGGGAGGTTTCAGTGCTTTCCTGAGGCCAAGATGAGTACCACAAGGACCCGGGGAACCACACACCCACCGCAGTCAGTCCACTTTAAATACCGTTCCCTATTGGGCCTCTGGAAACCAGGGATAGGTAAGGTCAGAAGGGATCCGCCCTCCCCTCTAGAGTCTCAGGGTGGTGCCGGCCTTAGTATGAGGCTCAGGCTTCTGGGCCAGGGAGGAGTTGTTCCCCATGGCAGGGCAGGTCCAATGAAGGACAGGGTCCATCCACACCCAAATGAGGGGTTGACAAAGAATGGGGCCCCAGCCCTGGTGTCAGCCCTTGAATATGTAGCACATGGCTGCCAAGCTGAAGCTCCCCCAACGCTTATTTTTATTTGGCCTATGGTTGGTGAAATACTTTGTTTGAAGCAGTAGCTACTCCTACGCTGAAGAGGTGGGGACACAAGACCTGACGCGAAGGCCAGTAAGCAACATTAATGAGGCCTGAGCAGCCCACAGAGACCGGTACAGAAAACTCCCCCGTGAGCAGTCAGGACTGAGGGTACCTGGACAGGGAGACAGGCTGAGGATGCCCTTCCCCTACTTCTTTTGTCTCTGGCCTCCCTGCATGCCCAGGATACCTGGGCATTGTTGACATGATGGGACAGAGTGCCTCTCATGGTGTCACCAGGGGGTGAGGGTCTTAGCATAAGGCCATTGCCAGAGGCCAGTAGTGGGAGGTTTCTAGGCTTTCCTGAGGCCAAGGTGAGTACTGCAAGGACTCAGGGAACCACACACCCACCACAGAGAATACGCCATAAACGTCATTCCTTATTCTGCCTCGGGAAACCAAGGACAGTCATGGTCAGAGGAGGAGATCCTCACTGCCTTCTAGGGTCTCAGTGTGGCGCAGGCCTTAGCATGAGGGCCAGGCCTACGGGCCAGAGAGGAATTGTTCACCATGGCAGAGCTGGTCAAATCAGGGACTGAGAGTCCATCCATGCCAAAATAAAGGGGTTAACAAAGAATGGGGCCCCAGTCCTGATTTCAACCCTCATATAGGTAGCACAGGGCTCCCAAGCGGAAGGTTCCCCAACAGGTGTTTTTATTTGGCCAACGGTAGGTGACATACTTCGTTTGAAGCTGTAGCCACTACTCAGCTAATGATATGGGGGCACAAGACCTAATGTGAATGCCAGTAGGGACCCTTCATGAGGCCTGAGCAGCCCACAGAGACCGGTACGGAAAACTCCCTGCTGGACAGTCAGGACTACGGGTACCTGAACAGGGGGATAGGCTGAGGACCCTCTTCCCCTAATTCTTGTGAGTCCCATGGCGTGCCAACACTTGAATGATGCTCTCGAATGTGAAATAAGAGGCTCCTCCACCTCAGTGGCTGCCAGTCCCTGCTGTCAGCTCAGCACACCTGAGGCAGGACTGGCAGAACACAGGCTACAGGCTTCCCCCAGCTCGGGCTGATTAGATCAGAGGCCCGGTGGGTTTTAGGAGCCGTGGCCTCGAGCAGAACTGCCAGTGCTGCTTCCCTAACAATTACGGTCGTGTGTCTAAGCTGAAGGTGCACAACTCTCACCCTTGCTCCTCCAGGTGTCTCGTCACCTCTCCTCCTACCAAATCTCCTGACCGTTGTCCCTGCCATAATCACGCCTCGGCACCAGGAAAGTAAGCGCCGCGTATGCCACAAAGGCCAACAGGTCCGAGACCAATTTGAGAGTCCCAGAATAATTCAGGAACCAGCCAAAGTAGAAGCGCCCCGCTTTTCCTCAACTTCAGTTGTCGAGCTGGATATCAAGTGGTTATCAGGTATCGAGGCAACTAGCACTCCCCAGGCATCTCGGGGACCCCTAAACAGGGCCGTTGCCTTTTCGGGAGCAGTTGACACGGCGCGTGAGAAGAGCCGGGACGAGGATCACTCATGTTCCTCTGAGGATTCCTCATGTTCCTCTGAGGATTCACTTTCTGACTACTCAGGCAGTGATTCCCTGAGTACGATTGTGAAAAAGTTACAGGGGTTTCTTCTGTACAAGTTAAAAATGAAACAACGCATTCTGAAAGAAGACATACTAAAGATAGTCACCAGAAAGTACCAGGACCAATTTGCTGATATCCTCAAGAAAGCCTCTGACATCATCGAGACAGTCTTTGCAGTGGAATTGAAAGAAAAGGACTCAGCCAGGCCCTCCTATGTCCTGGTCAGCAATCTCAAACTCCCCAATAATGGGAGAGTGCATCCTGGCAGGGGGTTTCCCAAGACTGGTCTCCTGATGAGTATCCTGGCCATGATTTTCCTGAACGAGAACCGAGCCACAGGGAGAGAAATCTGGGACTTCCTGAACTCCATGCAGGTATACGCTGGGAGGAATCACTTCATTTTTGGGGAGCCTAGAAAGCTCATTACCAGAGACTTTGTGAGGCTCAAGTACCTGGAGTACCGCCAGGCGCCTGCGAGTTATCCAGGATGCTACGCCTACGTGTGGGGCCGCAAAGCTTGTACCAAAATGACCATGATAAAGGTCCTGCGATTTTTGGCTAGGGTCAGCTTTGGAATGCCAAATGCTTTCTCGTCAGAATACGAAGCTTTGCGAGAGGAGGAAGAAAGAAAGAATGCCCACCAGAGGGGCCCGGAGGGTGGGCAGTAGTACCACAGGCAGGAATGATCCCGTGGCCACAGCCACCAGCGTCTCCACTCCTAGAAAAGTCTGGTGACTGTTCACTGTCATGAAGAAAACACATCTGACATTATAAAAGGGGATCTTGTGGAAATGTGAAGGAATCCCAGAGTAGAATTTGGGGGATAATGCAATGGAGAAAAAAATAATAAAACATCATCATCCTTGATTCTTCTTCCTCCTTTCAGTCTTTTGTTTTGTAGAAGTAATCGGTTCCTACCTCGATATGCCTAGCTTTTTAAAGAGTGTAGGAGACAGAAACGCTTAAGAAGTTGGAGCTCCTCCACTCTTTCTCTTCTGTTCGCCATTCATATGGAGCGCTTGTTTTGTGGAAGGCTCTGTGCTCGCACTGGGGATGCTGAGATAGAGACCCAGCCTGTGCTCATAGAGGTTTACTGGCCAGGAGCTATAATCATGTAAGGAGGATGTTACCACACCCTCTATGATTTAGGGCTGAGTAAAAGAGGGGGGTGATTCGGGAGGTGCTGCAGTTGAAAACAATCCAGTGTAAATTCTCTGAGTCGGGGCAGTTTAATTCTGGGGACGCCTCAAGTCAGTCCTTGAGATGTCATTTGCAATGAAGATACCTGGTGGAGTAGACGAGGCTGTGGGGCTGGTGAGCAGAGGCCAGACGTGCCGATGAGATGTCTGAGTTGAGAGAGAAAGTACTGGAATGGAAAACTGCACCGTGGTATATAAGATCTCCCACTGAAACCCAATATCGCATGGTGCCGCCGACCATTCAGCCATCTTTAGGACGCGGACAAGGCCCAGATCTTGCTTATTCCTCGGTAGCAAATTCCGATCCCTCCCAGCCGGAGAGCTTTGCCAACAATCTGGTTACATACTGCCATGCCGACTAGGGCTCACCTCATCCTCTTGACACCACAAACGCTCCTGCCTCCCGCAGTCCCTGTTGATTCACTCTTCCTGAGTGCACCCCTCTGTGCCACTGGGGGACATGTGGTGTCCTCCTCCCCCTTCCTGTGAGTGTACATGATTGATAAATGGCTGTCTGGGTCATCTGGACAGGGTCCAGGGTTGTGAGTTTGGGAACTACATAACCACATGGCGGAAATTCCTTCCTCACCTCATGGGGTAGATAGGAGGCCATTGAACTTGCTGGTATACATTTGTATAGGATGACAGGTAATCCAGAAGTAAATGCCTACCTGGGGCAATATATTTGTTATCTCAGGCTGACCTCGCAGAATGCTGCAGGCTCTGGTGCTTAAACAACTGATTGTCTCCCAGTTCTGGAGGCTGGAAGCCCACAGTCAAAGACCTGGCAGGGCCGGTTCCCTCTGAGGCCTCTCTCGTTGGCTGCCAGAAGGCTACCATCTTCACATGGCTGTCCCTTTCTGTAGTGTGCATGCGTGGTGCCTTCTTGTGCGCCCTAAGTTCTTTCTATTACAGACCCACTCAGACTGAATGGTAGCCCACCCCAATGGTTGTTTTTTAACTCAACCGTCATTTTAAAGATCTTATCTCCAAAAATAGGCACATTCTGACGTAGTGGGTCTTACGACATTACCATGAACTTTGGGAGACAGAACTCAGCCTCCCATAGCTAACAGTGAAGGGGTCTCTGGTCTTATCCCAGTACAAGAATCATGTTACACAAATGGGGGTTCCATTTACACTGTTTGCAGGGAGCTTCTACAAAGAGTGGTGAACGCCGTTGAGGTGAGATGCACAGAAGCCGCTGTGTTGACCTCTTTTGGTTAGAATGGTAGTGTCAGATACACATTCATTAAATGAAGATTTGTTAGGAACACCTTGAGTGTAATTTGGTGAATTGTAGGGGAGGGGTACATTTTTTTGTGGGAGAGGAAGGAAAAGGAAATGAGTTGGTTTGCATGGAAGGCCTGCTGGAATGTTTGAAAGTGTTAGTGGTAGGCAAAATTTTAGAAACTGGTGTTTGCCTCTGAGTAAAAAGAGAATTGCCAGTTTGATATCATTCTAATGTGAAATAATTTATACTGAGTCAGTGTTTTTTTTTAGTAAATATTATATATTTTACTTTTTGTCTGGAATCACATGTAATTGATTGCTGCAAATTATTTTATTGAATTCCACAAAGGGAGTATTGGTGACCCATTGGGTAACTTTATTTGAGTTATTTAACTTTGAGAGGTGAAATTTTTAAGAGAATGCAAATATACCATTAGAAGTCAGTACTACAATTTCTGTGCCAATATTTGTGGAACTCAGTTTAAATTTGATTTTGGTTATTTAAATAATATATTCATGTGTGAGAGCTGAAAACTAAATAATGGGAGGTTCCTTTTTGTGAAATCTTTATTAATATTGTTGAATCTAACTTTGTGACACCAAAAACAAAAACAATTTTTCAAAGCAAGGAAAAGGCAGTCATTAATTTATTTCATATGAGTATGGTCCCAAAGTTAGCTCTTTGTGTACATTGTTATATTTGGGGTCATCTATTTATTATCTATACCAACATTTGTTGATTTTGAAAATTTCTATTTGTATTTCAAAATAGTATGTTGATATTATCGCTATCAATGGACACAAGAATGTTCAATTTGTGTGAAGTCCACTATAATTAATTAATTAATTAATTTAGTTGGGGTGATCAAAGTGTTTTCCAGTTATAATTTTAGCTGGTACTGAAAGGAAGCAGAGTTTGCAACTCCAAAATATGTGCCTTTGAGATATTGGTTATTTTAAGCTGGTTATTTTTAAGGAAAAAAAAAGATGCAGGGAAAACCTTTAACTTTCCCCTCAACTGCTTAGAATCTTTTAGATAGAGGATCTGCTCCAGTTTTAGATAGAGGGCCCACTCCAGGAAGGGATCTGTTATTATAGATAAAGAAAGCTTAATATGAACTAGTTGTGAGAGACAGGGAGGAACTTAGAAGGCCCATTTGACCCAAGTCCTCTTTGTGTCCCATACTTAAGGATGACCCAGCAAACATTTATTTACAGAACATTTGCTTTTTCCATCTCCATATGAATTGCCTTCCTCTCCTTTGAAGTCCTAAAACACACCCCATCTTTTCCCCTTGCTCAAGATGACACATAAGGTTTTTAGTTTGATGTAGTCCCATTTGTTTATTTATTTTTTCCTTGTTTGAGGAAATACAAGGGAAATACAAGTTCTGTCCAGAAGGTATCCAGCCATGTACTATGAAAAATAGAGACATTTATTAAAGAAGATACAAGGTACAAGAAACATTGTACATAGGACAAGGATGCCTAGAAATAAAATAAGTGAACTTCAAAATATATCCAACCTATACGGCAGTCGAAGAATTGAATTTTCAATATATGTAAAACTTTTACAAAGAGGAAATGCTAAAAACATGAAAATGGCATTATCTCAAAAAAACAGTTAAATGATAGTACAGTGGAGCACTTAGACCCTGAAAATCTGGCAGAATTATTAGGTAGGAACACCTGGTCAAAGACTAACCTTGCTGCTTGCCCTTGCTGAGGGAGTGCTCTTGTAAACAATATGTTTTGTAGGGGAAAAGAATTTGTCACCACAATATATGCCTCTTTGGTATAAGGGTTATTTTAGGCTTGTTAATTTTTTTAAAAAATTCATAATATTCTATTTGTCACACTGGTTAATTTTAAGAAACGGCAAGGGAGAAGGTCTGAAAACAAAGTAGAAGTTAACCCTTTTAAAGATGTTTACATCGTAAGGAAATCTCCATCTGTAAGAGTGTGTCCCTCATTCCATCAGGGCTGATTTCACTATCAGTGGAGAAGGCATGGACTTAAGTTTCTTTTGTTTTTAGCTGGAGATGGTATTTAGGTTGGTGGCTTGGGCCATTTTGGGGAGTTACTCAGTTTTCCTTGGTCTCTCCAATGTATACAGGAGGTATACATGTTATTACACTTTAATTTGTTTTTCTCTTGTTAATCTGTCTCACGTCAATTTGACTATTGAGCAACCAGAAGAACCTTGATGGGCAGAGGAAAATGTTTCCTTCCTGACAATGTTAAGGTGGTACCCCCTTCCTTTAATCAGGTTTTTCTACCTGAATTCCTTTAGGCAGGTAAGGCAGAGTGTCAAGGTTTCTTTCTGAGTCTTTTGTTTCTTAAAAATAACCAGCTTAAAGTAATCTATATCCCAAAAGGCATATATGCTTTGGGGTGGCAAATTCTGCTTCCTCTCACTTTTATTACAAAGATTCTTCAGTACGATGTTTAGATTTTAGAAAAGGGTCTCCAGAACTGAAGAAGGAAGCATAGAGCTCTGTGTGACTAGAGCAGAAAGTAAAGCTGTGGACTCAAGGTATTTAGGTTGTTAAAAGAGGTTTCTTCAATATAAAGCTGTGTCAGTGAGAGTTGTCTGCTCTTCCCCTATCGCTGACTGGTAAAGCCTTGCAGACAATGAGCCAAAGTCAAGGGTGTCCAAGAAGCAGTTTCTAGATTCTTTCATTGCATTTAGCCAAAGCTGTGCGGATGGGACAACAATTGCCAAACTTCAGTGAGCATGAATCACTTGGAGGCCCAAGAATTTGCATCTGTAACAAGTTCCCAAGTATTACTATTGCTGCTGGCACTAAGACTATACTTTGAAATCCATTGATACAGGATCCTTCAAAGGGATTTGGAACCCCCAAGGTTCAGAGTACATCTCAGATATAATAGCTGCATTTTATCATTGCACCAGGTTACAAAATGACTGATAGTCAATAACTTCCTAGGGAGGTAAGTGTTGCGGTTTCAGGGATGAAGAAGAAAGCCTAGAGTTGAGGGAAGTTTTAACTCTTACTGATTCTATTTCCCGTGAGAAGACTAGTAAAAGGGGAGAAAAACATCAGGGAAGCAAAACACAAGTTTAATTACTACTGTGACTGAGAGCAACCTTATTTTAATATGGAGATCATTTTTTTTTTTTACTTTTCCCATCTTCCCTTCAATAAAGGTTTGATTCTGCTTTTTGGTATCAAATCAAATTGGTTTGATACCAATTCATCAGGTTTAAGAAA